TTCCTCAAGTATTCTTCCTAGATCTCCTCTAGCAAAGAACTATTTCCTCCTTGCGTTCAGACACGGCCATCATCATTTCTTTGTAAGGATCCTTCCGTAAAATACAGTAGGAATACATTAAGCCTATGAAAGTCTCACTCCATCCTACCTTCACTATTGTAAGTAAGCATCTACGTTCTTCATTTCCCCACTTATTGTGTGTTACCCCAGCGTGAGTTTTCAGCATAGATCTTTCTGAAACTGTGCTTTTCCCTCTAAGGACTCTATATGTTTATCTTTTGTTGGCTTTTCTATTTATATCAATATGTGAATTGTGAGTAAGCAATCAGAAACACATAGTAATTTTAATAGAGTTCTTGCTTGATTTTATTTGCTTATTTGTGTTTACTTCTATTGTTGGTTTTAGTTTTTCTTTTTACACTGTCTTACCCTTTTAAAAGTAAGTTCATAACAGTATCTTCAGTTTACTCTTAGGAAAGCACTAAAGAATTTTCTTTCCATAATGTAATAGTTACTACTTAGAGTTTTCAAATTCTCATTCCAAAAACTTTTAACAAGAGTATTTTTACAAAGCAACTGGACTTTTAATTCCTTCTTTTGCTGACACCATTTGTCAGGTCAGATTATTAGACATAACTAACCTGTATGAAAGAAACATGGAGAAAGTCCCAGAGTATCTTATGATCGGGTATTTATAGTGAGCTATTAATGGACATAGGCTCTACTGAGATCATTTTCAATCCTGAAAATATCACTTTCAACTTAATAATCACTTCTTCAAAGTGCGAAGGTCTTCCCTCTTTCAGAAGGTGAGGAAAAACAGTCTATTTTCTCAATTCATAGGAAAATGAGTAGTCTTTTTAGAAAAAAGAAATAGTCTGGATTTAAAATGTTTATGTACTCATGGTACTATAGGTATAATCGAATACTAACAGTTACTTGTCTGTATATTTTGTTAATAGATTTCTCTTTTTTGCTACATGTGCAATTACAGAGCAAGGCCTTGCAATCACACATTAGGGGGATCAGGTAACAAATGATGCAGGTTTGCTATGAATTACTGCTGCTCAACTTAAGATGTTTCTAGAATTATTCCAAACTTTGTAAGTGGGATGTTGACAACTTCCTTCATTTTGCTGTCCTCATTCGTTTTGCTAATTTATTCATTTGCTTTCAGTTTTACTTATTCATTTTATCTTCCTTTACCCTGTATTTTTGGTTGTTTTTTTTCAGGCCAACTTTCTTGAAAGACAAAAGTGGAAGCTTTGATAAGGTAAAACAGATGAGAGGTTTGAGCCTAACAGAACATCTGTCATTTTTATCTATAATAGCATGTAGCTGAATATACACAAGAACAGTGTGACTGCTTATGCATATAACAGTGTACGTCTATACACATTTAATGTGTGCACACGTCTATACCATTTAATGATTGTTTTGATTTTTAGTAATTTTTTATGATTTCTTCTTAAATTTTAATATTTAGACTTAACAAATAGTATCAATGGGATTCATTTCTATGCTCCACAATCTTAAAAGGGTAAAAATGTTTTTAATTGAACCCTTTCCATTTGGCGAACTTTTTTTTTTTAAGCTAAAGCAATTCTTAAGCTTTTTTTTTTTTTTTAAATTAACTCCATTGTGGTTACACCAGTGTCTTTTATTTCTGCCTGTATTTGGATATATATTTTTGCAGTATTTTATATATATCCCTTACGAGTATTAGAAAAAAACAGGCATGCATTGATGAAGACTGCAGAATTGTAAGTTCATCCATTCTAAGTGGCTGTAGCTTATGTACATAAGGTGGTAAAGTTGTTGGTCTTTTTTCAAGCATGGAGTTTGTTGTTTCAGTTGGAAGGCTGATGCACATAATGGCACAAATCTACAATACTTTCCTGAGTACAAGATACAGCCCTAACAATATCTTTGCTGAAACAGTTTGAACAAAAGCTATTATTAAAAAATGTCACGTCCTTCGCTTGCCCTTCACTTCCAGGCCCTCTGTGAACAAACTGAAAAAACCTCCCAAGTCTTATTGCACATCTGTGTTTCTGCTAAGGAAACATCAGATCACAATTGTGATGATATTTGAGTGTCTAAAAGACTTAAGAGGGAATGACTATTTATCTGAAAACTTAAGTTTTACTTATTTTTGTTGCTTTCTGATAAGTAACGCCAGAACAAGTAGCTATTCTGTATGTTCAGTCTGAGGAACAGAGATAAAAGCTAGCACATGCTATTGGTATAGAAAACCTTTACTCTGTTCTAAATTGAATAACTCTTTGCAGCGCAAGCTTAAGTACTTGGGAGAAGGCTGGAGCTTGAGATGGAGAAGTTCCGATTCATTTAATTTAAACTGTGTTTCATTTCTCTTGATACTTAAACAGCAATTGTTGTTTCTGTTACTCCAGATTTAACCTGAAGATTTACCATCTGCTTCCAATTAAAAAGCAGTGTTTCCCTACAGAAAGTGATCCAGGTTGTGGTGATTTGCCATGTATAATTCTATATCTAATTTTGATGATGATTCTGATGATGAACTCCCTACCCAACAAGCCATTCAGGAAAGCTTACAAGATAGGCATAAAATTGAAACAAGTGGCAGTGCAACAGAGGATGAAAGGTAATAAGGTATTGCTTCTATTCTGCGTGTTTTCTTGGCATTATTATAAGCATGTAGTAACCTTGTTTTCCTTTGTGACTCCATATGTTGTATTGCTCTGACCTTGTCTTGCGGATACTGGAAACCAAGGGTAGATCACTTGAAAAAGTGATCTCCCTGAAAAAGTATGCCCATTTCCTCAAAAATACAGAATGTGTGAAACTTTCAGGTGACGTTTTACATCAATATCTAAATGAGTACAAGGCTGTATGGAGAAGAGAAGTATGTGATGTAAAAATAGATTGGTATGGTAGCTTTCCCTCATTTTAGTATTTAATTGTTGGCCTTTGTGTGAAAAATCCAATATTTATAGTGGCAGGGGAAGACCAACAAAAAAAGTGTTTTAATGTGTTAAACCCTGACAAAACCTACGTAACTTACAGAAATCTAATGTGTAGTCTAGACTAAAGTATTTAAATTAAGGTATAATTATATCCTGAACTTCACATTAATTTTTATTTCTCACTTTATTTTTGTTCTGTTCATGCAGTTTCCAGTGTATTGCAAGTAAAGAACATGGAAAGATAATTGAAGCAATTCGGACAGTTAAGTACAAATACACCACACTAAGCCTACACGCCTAGGAATCGCTTGGGTATCGCATTGCTGAGCAATGCCTACATTTTAGGTGTTTGATCGCCTGATTTAAGTGCAGTTTTTCTTTATATAGTTTTGGGAGAAGTAAGGCAACTAAAAATGGGACACCCGAAAGCTAACTTCTGAGATAGGGACATGGTAATGGGATGGGTTCAAATGTCACTCCTCTCGGATTCCAGTGCTTCATCTCCTGGAATTAGGGGACAATGCCAGGCCTTTCTTGTAAAATAAACAACAGGATGGCAAGGCCCCCAGCCAATTAATGCTGCCTAAAGGCATTTCACTTTGTGAGATACCCAGATTAAAATCCCTTCTCTACCTGAAGAGTGTTACAGAATTGTTCTTTAACTGCCAAAATTTAGTGTATTCCTATATGAGATACTCTTAGTCTGCTTTTCTGAAACTTCTACTTTCTGTGCTGTGATCAATTTATATACTGAGTCACAGAGATAAGGAAACAATGAGCATAGGTAGTACAGTTGTTAGGACAGTTGTCTGGCAGTGGGAAACCTTCAGTGCAGTCTTTATACATGTCATAGTAAGCAGTTAGATCTTTAGTGGAGTAGGAATCAAGAAACCAAGTCTTTTCTGGAAAGGCAGAGGCTATATATGTTCCATACACTATGAAGGACGTGCCTAAACTCTAGTTACACTTGCTTTCTGGCCTGGTGAATATGTAATTCTTCCATATGCAGGAGAACTTCAGCAGCAGAGATTGAGAGTGGTCTGTCCCTTCACCCTAGAGTTGTAGGTAACAGGAGGGCAGACTGCCTTCTCCCAGGAATGGTGGGATAAAAAACATGAGCAGAAACCAGGCCTCTACTTAGACAGGCTCTGCAGCCAAGAAAGTTTTGCTGTTTCTTGGTGAGATATGAAATTGAAAACATAATCGTCTGTGTTGATTAAAGTTCCAGTAAGATTGTTAGTAAAAGCAGGAATAATGAGATAGGTCTCGTCCTGTTAAATCAGCTTCATTTTACTTTTGCCAGCCTAAGTATTTTTCCTACAGTTTCACTAGGACACCCGTTTTTGTTTTATACATTAAGCTTAGATGCACTATTGCTTATAAGAGAGGATTGTATTTGAAATATTTTAGTCATATTGAGTTATAAGTAAGTTTTTTCAATGTATAATTCAAAATACTTTGTGAGTCAATATCAACCATTGATTGTTCCATTCATGTAAACCACCCTGTGAGAAAACATTGCTTTGACAAAGCAAGTTGTTTATTCTAGATACACTGATGGGATAAATGGCACTCAGTATATTAGTTGCCTGAATTTTATTTTATGATGAGTAATGGGATATGTGTCTGTCTTAAAATATCACAGGCCAAGAAGAGGCCTTGATGAAGTTGGTGAAGCACAGTTCTGCTTTTGAAGAAGCAGATCAGCAAGGCTGGCTTCCTGTGCATGAAGCTGCAGCACAGCTAAATAAGAACATCCTTGAAATAACTTTGAAAGGTACGGAGTCCTTGTGGTTTTCCACCAAAGAGTTTTGCCAAGTCAGGTTTGATGAATGATCCAGCTTCAAATGTGTTCTGCTTTTCTGTATTTCAGCCTCCCGTGCTGTGACGTGGGAACAGACAACTCTAAAAGGGGAAACACCTCTCTTGGTGGCAGTAAGGAATTGCTTTGTAGACAATGTCCGCTTTCTCCTGCTCAATGGCTGCAATCCCAATGTTAAGAATGAAGAGGGAGATTCTCCTTTAGTTATAGGTGAATACCTTATTTAGGGGTGGAGAGGTGAGGGAATGAGGTGAGGTTACAGTTACACATTTTAGGTTTCAATTTGACATATTTGACTTCAAATCAATATCTAAAATATTTTGCCATAAGGAGCAAAAAATGTTAATCTCAGTATTGAATGTGTCTGTCCCTGTCTGTTTTTCTTAGATGATATCAAGGCTTTAAATGAGCTGACAATTCTGAGTTAGGGACTGTCACCACGAAGTTCTTAGTATTACTTGTTAATTAAAGTATTATTCTTACTGGTCTACTGAAATATGGGAAACAGAACTAGGAGAAGCTAAAAATCTTTCCCCAAAGTCTGTTCCAAAACAGGGAGCTCCAGATGCCTGCCATTTTCTATCTCTCAGTTGCAAAGAGTTCGAGGTTCAGGTTGAACATACATCTTTTTCCTGAAAGAACCAAATAGCTTTCTCCATGATGTGCCAGACTGTCTTCCTCTGCTGACCTTGGCACCGTTTATGCAGTAGTACCAGATAACCAGGTGGTCCTGCTTCTTCATGCTGTCACTGTTCTTCGTCTCTGCAGGCAGAAAACATCCGTAATCTCTGCTTACATGGTATCTTTTTCATTGCATTGGCTTCTCTTTCTCTGAAACCCATGGTAATTGGTTTGATTTTCAAAAATTATAGCAAACCAGCCTGATTTATCTGCATTACGTAAAGTATAAAACGGTGTTTGTCCCTATTCAGACGTTGTTGGAATTAATCCAAGTGTGACAAGTGAAGAAGCTAGCCAGGCCTAAATTCTCAGTTCGCTTTTCTTTGAATTTTTTTGATTGAAGAAGAAGGTCCCATACCTAGTATCACTCCTAGTGTGAATGCCATTTTAATTTGATCATGCACAAGAACTGTAATTCTTGATTTCTAAAGAACTAGTCCTAACATTTTTGCCAAGATGTATTGCACAATTGTTCTATGTTCATTTCGTTTGCTTCCCCCAATTTGGGCTATGAGGCTATTCTTCTTACGGAGTCCTAGCCAAAATAAAGGAAAGCGTGTTCTCGTTATCTGAGTTCTAAAGGAGCACCGTAAGTTTCTTGGATGAACCTGTAAGTTTTTCCATATTGGAAGGGTGTTTTTTTCAAAACGGTTGTTAAAGGAAGAGGACAAAGCCTACCTATCTGTAGGCTCCCCAGTCCATCCTTTTGAAATGACTAAAGCTGCTTTTTGGTCAGGGCCGCCTGCTTAGAAAAGATGCAGAGAATTCCTAGATACTTTTGAAGTGCACTACATTACAACGCACCATTCCCCAAGAAGGGGATGTGTGGGATTTATCTGAAGCAGCCGTGTAGGTTACAGATAATGGGACGTTACAGGCTACGGTATGCTGTCAATGGTATTTCAAGCAGCTGTGGCACATGAAGCTTCTCTGCCTAATCTGTCTGGGTGAAGGGCACGCGCTGTTCTGCCCCGCAGAGCCTGGAAGATCAAAGAGAGGAGGAGGGAAAGGTGTTGCCTATTCATTCCATTCACTGGAGCCCATGCAAATTACTCTCTTAAGATCCTTACTGACTTAACAGATCAGGCTTATTAAGCTAAGAAGGCCTATGACACAGTCATTTTAAACTTTGGTTCCTATTATGGTGACTGCTTATGAAGATGAAAGAGCAGGCCAGCTCCTGACTGCAGCAACTCCCTATCTATGATCTCCACCTAGTGGCAAGGAAAGTCACATTCTGTTGCATCAGCAAACGCAACAGAGAATTACAGAGAGAGAGAAAAAAAAAAAAAAGAGATTACCATAAAATTATTCATTTGTATAGTTAATGTTATCCTGGAAACAAAGAAGAGACTTGTTGACAAGTTAAACCTTTCAGTGCAGTGTGACATTTCTCAGTGTATAAATAGCGCTGCCAGGGACAGCTCAAGCTTTCCTGGGCTGACACATAACAGAAGCCATAGTGCCTAGAATAGTGTTGAGTAACATTCGGGCTGATACTTCACTTATTGTCTTGCAGCAATTAAACATGATTCATATGAGGTTGCCTCCTTGTTGATAAGTTTTGGTGCAAAAGTGAATCTGCAGTGTGTCCACGAGAGGACTGCTTTACATGAGGCGGCCAGACTAGGCAGGAAGGATCTGGTGAAGCTTCTCCTTCGTTCTGGAGCAGATCCTGACCCTCGCAGTGGATATGGGCTCACACCTCTAGCACTGGCTGCACAGATCGGACATACAGAAATTATGGAGCTCTTATTGCAAAAAGGTGAGACTTTATTATATAGGATGTTACAGGAAGAGAAGGCTCAGGGTGGGGGTCTATCCTGCCAGTGTTATAAATACCTGATGGGATGGTGCAAAGACGACAGCCAGATGCTTCTCAGTGGTGCCCAGTAACGGGATGAGAGGCAATGGGCACCAATTGAAACCTAGCAAATTCTGTCTGAACATAAGAAAACACTTGTTTCTGTGAGGGTGGTTGAACACTGGAACAGGTCACTCAGAGTTGTGGAGTCTCCCTCCTTGGAGAGACTAAAAACCGGACTGGACGCTGTCCTGGGCAAGCTGCTGTAGCGAGCCCTGCTGAAGCCCAGGGTTGGGCTGGATGATCTCCAGAGGTCCTTTCCAACCTCAGCTATTCTGTGCTTCTGTCTGACGACTTAGTAGATTGAGTTAGTGACATGTAGGTTCAGTGGCGGTGTTCACGTGAGTAGAACTGTAAGCCACGTGTGCTAGTACTGAAGTGTTTGAAACCCAAGTGGGACAAAGTGAATCCTCTTTCCAACAGAGAAAATTTATTCCTAAATGCAGAGGCAAAAAATTGTTGTTAGCTCAGTAGTCAATAAAACTTTGCATTACTGAAGTGAAAGGGAATGAAGTATTACCACGTTACTGAGTATACAGCCTGTAGGGTTAATAGAGCCAAACACACACAAATGTATTTTTAGAGATTACTTGTGGCAAACTGTAGTAGTCATCAGTGAGTGCTTTGCAAAACTGCAAGTAAGTCTGACACATTGCAGGAGATACTTTGTTTGCGTTTTTGGATGGCATCTTAATTTATTTGAAGAATGTGACTCCCAAATCATGTGAGTTGTGGTCTGTCTAAAGAATTGCTAGTATCTAAATTTCATGTATGAGAGATATGTACGCGCACACACCCATATATATTCCCTCTAAAGCAGTTAGTCTATTTACACACGCTTTTATTAGTCTTCTGAAAGTTCTGTGATTGGATTAAAACTAGTTATTGTAAGATACGTCTTCAGAAATAGCAGCACAAGTAACTTTCCTTACCTAAAGAAAATGAAATGCTGTCTGCACCAAGAGGATTGTTGTGATGTAGTTAAGTAAAGGCCTAATAAGGACTACATTTTCATAATAGTCAAATAATGTATCAATATTTTGGTGAGTAGTTGTAATTGATTTTAAATGCAATATTGTTTTCTCATGTAGACAGGTCACCTTAGGGAAGGCCTGACGACACTTATGGTGGGGAATTTTATATGATAGCTCAGCAGTGCTGCAACTGGATTGGATGAACTGTTTTGATACTGGGTTCTCCCATATTTACAGTTATATCTGTCTGGTCTTTGTAAAGTAGAAGAACTGAAATACATTGTATGTAAGCCAAAACCCAGTTTGTATGAATAAGAACCAAACCCCTTGCTTGCCCAGTTCTAGCATCAAGTCTTACTGTGCGATTGTGTCCAAAGCAGTTTGGAGCGTCTTGTTCCCAGGATCAAGGATCCAACATGAAGGTTTATGCCCGTAGTGGTTTTATTTGGTGAGGAATAGTATCCACAGTACCGTGTCACTGGAGGGTTGGAGATACTAATTACTGCTGGATATTTACAGTGACTACTGTGAAAATCCTTGATGCTTTTTTCCAGGTGCGGATGTTCTTTCACAGGCAATGGATTGTGCTTCTGTATTGTTCGAAGCAGCAGGAGGAGGGAATCCAGATTCTCTGAGTCTTTTACTAGAATATGGGGCTGATGCCAATGTACCAAAGCACTCGGGTCATTTGCCAATCCACAGAGCTGCATATAGAGGACACTTCCTGTGAGTTAATATGCTTAAAAATCAAGTAATGGTGACACCAGAAATATTAATTTTGCTAATTCTACCTTATTCCAAGCAGGCAGCAAATCTGTCGTTTTGCAGAAGGAATTCTTTTTGACTGTGTAAATATGAGTTTTCTGTGTCTGAATGTAAGAGACCAGTCAGGATAAAATCTGCATCATTTTAGGGTGAACATACCAATTCCTACAGCATTTCCCCACTTGTCACAAATAGTAACACTGTCCAGTCTGATGTTGAGGTTCTTGGGACATCCTTACCCTCTTTGGGTATGCCTCATCTCCAGCCACCACAGGAGGGTAAACGTACTAAATAATCAAATAGGCTTAGGGGTTAAGGGTTATCCCTACTTTAAAGGCAGGAGGGTCACTGGAAGATATTTATGCTAAAATCACAACCAGTAAGTGAGAACCAGCTCTTCAATGCTAGGAATGCTGCATTGTGGTTAAGAATCTGAGAATTCTTAATTCCTATGTTACTATTTTTTTAAAAATATATGTATATAAAATTATATTTTAATGTATTGTATATATTAAATTGTATATTCTATGCATTCATATTTTAATATATTCTATTAATTCCCTAATTCCTATAGGTTAAGCAATAACACTGTGCTCTTGACATTCAGGAAAAGCTTCTGTTGAGAAGGAATCATTATTCCTCTAGCAAGGAATGGGGTTGTTCACGAATAATAGTATCATAGAATAATGTTTCATGTGTAGTAGGTGTAAAGTCAGTATCCCTTGCTGGCTAACAATTTAATTGTGAGCAGTTAAATCAATGCAGAGGTATAGCGTGCCATGGTGCTGATTTGGTAGATTAAGACAATTGTATACAGTCATGATGAGTTCTGAAGCCCAGCAACACAGAGAAAGTCAAAGATTGAGCAAGGTGAACCAATATGTTTAAGATTCTGAGATTCTTCTTTTTTTATTTCTTCAGAGCCCTAAAAAATTTAGTTCCCGTTACTGATTTTGATGCCATTAAAGAAAGTGGGATAAGTCCAGTTCACTCAGCAGCAGCAGGAGCGCATCCTCAGTGCCTTGAGTTTCTCCTCAAATCGGGGTTTGATGCCAATTTCATGCTGGCTCAAAGAGTTCGCAAAGGCTACGATGACCACCGGAAATCAGCACTGTACTTCGCTGTCTCCAACGGGGATATCTGTTCCACAGAGTTGCTGTTGAATGCAGGAGCCCTGCCAAACCAAGATCCTATCAACTGTCTCCAGATAGCCTTGAGAATGGGCAACTATGAGTTAATGAATCTCCTGCTCCGACATGGGGCTAACGTCAATTACTTCTGCCGAGTGAATACAACGCATTTTCCGTCAGCTCTACAGTACGCTCTGAAAGATGAAGTCATGTTACGAATGCTGATGAACTATGGGTATGATGTGCACCGCTGCTTTGATTGCCCTCGGGGAAACAGCTCGCATTCCCAGTACGTGACCGATGGGTGGACTTCTACTGTTATCAAAGATACAATGGTAAGTACATCAGATGGCTTCTTACGTTGTTCTGCTGCCAGTATCCTTCCTAAAACTAACTGACAACGTATTTAATGCAGTGCCAGAAAAGGAAGTTTTGAAACCATAAGACAGGAATAGACAAGGCTTTAAAAATAAATAGATGTTGCCATGAGGCCTGGTTCATGACAGCAAATTATCATAAACGATATTTTTGAATTGTGAAAATATAGCTAATGGTATGCTAATGTCATTATATATGCTAATGATCAGTACAGAATTGGCTAAATTCCACTTAGGGAGTGGTAGCACTTAGTTACCAAATACACAGCTGCTTAAGTTCATTTTTGGATCTAGTACAAAATAACTGTCTCTCAGATTTTCAGATTCTACTAGCAAGGCTTAATGCAAGCTGTGACAACCTCTAAAGCTCCCCTGACTGACAGGGCACTCCTTCCTGGCCCTCAGCTGAAGTTATTTATTGCTTTTGTCCTGCAGAGGCGGAAGTCGGTGACAGGAGCAGTGAATATTAATCCTATTAAACATTTTGTTTCTGTCAGTTCTGTGAAGTAATAACCTTGTCATGGTTGAAGCATCTGTCGGGGAAAGTAGTGCGAGTAATGTTGGATTACGTCGATCACGTCAATATCTGCTGGAAGCTGGAGGCAGTTCTCAAAGAGCAGGAACTCTGGCCAGACATCAATTCGATTCTGAGTAAGTAGCTGATGGTTCCGTTTGAAGTGACAAACAAGCTGGTTTGGGACTGGGGCCTTTTCTGTTGGTGGTATTTTAGTTTTCATTTTCTTTACCTCAGACCGGTGCTTTTCTTGACCCTTGTTAGGCCAAAAGTTATGCTCTGACAGTAAGAGACCTCTCAAAAATCAGTCTATGTAGGATTTAAACGAAGTTTCTCCCAGAAGTCTGAAAGACAGTAACTGCACATGTTATGTAGAGCACTTGGGAACTTCAATTACAATGCAACACAATCCTCTTCAAGGGGAGAAAGGCTTTTCCCCCACCGCAAGTTGACAGAACAAATCTAATAAATTACTATTTTCAATCGAGTGATTTAATTCTAGTCTAGATCAATTCTATGTCCTTTTTGTTTGTACACAGATTAAGAAGTAGTGACTCATAATTCTACTTTTAGTAGCTTCTTCAGACTGACGGAAAACTGACACCAATTATTTGGGGTTAAAGTACATTCCCCAAACTTTACTACTTAAACTTGCATTAATCAACTTTTAGCCAACTTGACAGAAACAAAATCCGTTGGTTTAGCTGCCAGTGATTATGAATATAACCGAGAGATGTATGGGCTGAGGTAAAAAGGCGAGATTCTGACAGGTCCGGTTTTCCAGGTAGCAGAGTATTGAATAAATAAATTGAACAAAATTTAACAAATTACTTACTAATGTCAGTCTCGCCTTCTCATTTCTAGCAAATCCTCGTGCTCTGAAGCACCTTTGTCGTCTCAAGATACGGGAGTGCATGGGCCGGTTGCGTCTCCGTTGTCCTGTCTTCATGACCTTCCTTCCACTGCCAAACTGCCTGAAAGACTACGTACTATACAAGGAATACGATCTTTACGGACAGGAAAACTTCACAGGAACCTACGGCCTCAACTGTGCATAATTCTTAGTTCTGTGTTTAGAAGGGCATGTTGACGTGGGTACGACTGTCTTATGCAGCTGCTTTGTTCTTTTGGGCTTTTCTCTCCTATGTGTATTAAGGAATACCAGCATCCCCCCCTCGCTCCCCAGAGAAAGCAGGGAGAACCCCAGAATGTGAGTATCGGTGAGCCCCTTCTACATGTCTGCGGGAATATAAACTATCTGAAAGACACGGCAGCGGTATTTTAAATACTTAGTGTGAAAAGGAACTGTAAAATGCAGGGTTAAACCTTGTGTTGTTGCTAAGTTAAAGCCTGGCATAACAGATAACGCTGCCCCACTGCAGGGTTAAACTCGGGGTTTAGTTAAAGGGATTTAACTAACACGAGGAAGGGACATGGTTCTTTTTGTCTCCTGTACCTCCCCTTCTCCTGCCGAGAAGGGGAGATTTTGGTTCTGAAGTTCTGAAGAGCAGCCTAAGCAGACTTATTTTTTTTCACCCAATTCAGCAGTCCCACATTCTAAGCAGTGAAACGGGATTAACAGCTACAGAAGCCTCTGCTTCTCACAGCAGCTAGTGTGAAATACCGATGCTTCAACAAGGCGGCGCTATTTCTGGAAGGCGTGTTAGTTCTGCTTCTCATTCTCAGGTATTGATGTGTCTCATCCATTCTGTATTTTGATTGCTCTCTCTAGATCTGGGCTTTCCTTTCCCGGTGCTGTCTAAAGGCGTGCTTGCCGTTTTGGGGGTTTCTCTTCATAGAGTTGGAGCTTAAGCTTTTGGAGCACGATCTGTCAGCAGTCACAGTTGTCTTAGGAAGCCTTACCCGGTACGCGCAGGCCCGCAGCATGCCTGTTCTTTCCAAAAATACACAGTCCGTATCGTAGAAAAAAAAAAGTTCATCAACACATTTGGCATTAGTAGTATTTATTCCTTCATTATCAAGTAAGCATAGATTTTTTTTTTTCTAGTTATACATGCATCTTTCTCACGCAAGTTACATAATTCAAAAGTCCGCTTTTCCCCAGAAAAAATCTACAAACCTTATAAAATACAAATTTAACCATAATGTAGCTATGACCCATTGCTTTTTACACGGTGTTTATCATATAATAAACTAATGAAGCCCACGAAGACATGGATCAGTACCCAGGTTAACGGTTGTGCTGGTACGGCCTCTGCCCATGTGAATGCTGACCCTTAGCATAACCCCCGCTCTGCGCAGCGCCGCCCGTTGGCACGGGACCCCAGCGACGTGCACTGAACGGCCAGCTCCTTACCGAGGGGAAGGATTTTCTTCTTCTACCGGTCAGTCTTTGATTGTTGCAGAAATAAGTTACCAGCGTTCCCAAGCACAATGACTTCCTCTGAGGTGATCTGGCTAATATCATTAAAATTAAGAGAACTGAGAGAGACTTTGCTAACAGGGCTCTAACTGCACGTTAAAGCTTTGTTGAATGGAAGGGAACGCATCCTGTCACCGATAACGGTACTTCCTGGAAGTCAGTATTATGAAAAACGCGGGTTTTTGCATCAGTACAAATCCCACCCAGAAAGTTACGACAGTTAAGCTTTTATTTAATCCACAAAATGCTGGCTGAAGCCCCGGCATGATATGTTTACTATCCATGTTTCCAAGATTAAGACACAACAATCAAAGCTGATGGAAGGATGCCACTGGAGGTTTTTAATACAGCTATGCAGGGAAAATGTGCCAGTCGGTCTCAAACGTTGCAAAAATCACGTACGCTTCACTAGAACAGGACCAATCCAGAACATCATCATAGGAATTTGACCACTCCACTCTATTATAAAAACGACCTGAAAGATTGTACAAAGCCCTTGGCTTGCAATAGGGACTTTGTTAGGAACACAAGTGCACTCACAATGACGCTGACTTACGCTTGTCATCACAACTTCGATACCACTGTGGCAGGGGGGAAAAAAAACAACTTACTGCTTGGTTGAAAAGCAAAGCCTTGGAGACTAATTGCCTTGCAGGAAATTTTGTAAAATAGAGCAACAGAAAGAATACAGAAGATGAGCTCTTGCTGTTAGACTAGACAATCTCTCTACTAAATTCACTAAGCAGAGGCAGGTTTGCTTTCTCTGTGAGTCATTTCTGAAATAATAAGAGACTGTATCAGAACTTAATTTTCTCCACTGGCTTCTCCTAAATTCTGTGCAACTAATTAATCAGAATTAAACATGCGCAGTCAAATTTACTTCTTTATATCGAAGTACGTACATTGTATCTTCATAAACAGCTTCAGGATTTTCAGCCCTGGGTTTACATCCATATAAAGATGAACTCTGACAGCACTGTAGAGGGGGAACGTTCCTTAACTCTTAGCATTACTTTACTGTTAGACAGCAAAGCGTCTTGATGCCATTTCAAACCTCAGCAGGTTCAGGGAGTAACAGACTATCAAATACAAATCCCTTCACGCTTACCCGCTCATAACCAGTTCTCTATGGCGAAGTGGTTTTTGACTCTTAATTTGTCCTCTGATTTAGACTTGGAGAAATCTGTAATGGCCAGAGAGGAGTGCTGGGCGTTATCCAGAATGCAATAAAATGCATATGCATAAGCACACTTTATATATTTTGATATTCATGCCATTACATACATAAAGCATGGTGCAGCTTGAAGCAACGGACGCAAGGCTTGGTCTGCAAACTCTGTAAATCTACACAGCGTAGCAAACTTAATATCCCCTGCCGAGGGGAAAAATGTGAACGTAACTGGGAGGCTGCAATTAGCAAGGTAGAGAGTTAGTCCTCAGCAAGGCGGCTGAGTCGGTACCTATGCAAAGGCACTTTAAAATCATGTACTTGAACGAATATTTTCAGGAGTGTCTGAAGCAAACTACAGCTTCAGCTGGAAGTGCGTGAAAGATCAGTCTGTAAGGAAGAGGCAATAGGAAATACTAAATTACAGGGGAGGAAACCAACCTGTAATTTACTTAGAATAATAAAATGCTCAGGTGGTGAAATCCTACCGCAGTAGTTCCCAGGAGAACACGAGGTGTTTATATTAAAGTCATACTCTCAAGGAAAATACTGAGCACTCTAATTGTTTCATAATTAACAAAAATGTTTTCCAATGAAGTAGTTCTAAACCTCATAGGAAAAAGGGTACCAAAGAGTTGTTTATTCTGGGGAGGAGGGCATGGATAAAACCTCAGCCATTGTTTTTTTTGCCTTGAGGTGGCTCTGACTACAGAGCCGGGTGCTCGTCCCTGTAAGCAGAAGGCGGCAATCCTGCCCCCGCTAACTCGCTGCACCGTTCCGGTCTGCCTGCCTCCTCTCCCCTGCCCGCCACTTGCTCGTGCAGCTTCCCTTGCTCTCCCAGCTGCTTCTACATCTTTCTTTGCTCATTTTACACCAGTGAAACTCCCCTAAACAGGCAAAAAACCCCCCCGTTTCATTCACGCGTGGCAATCTGTTTTCTTTAACCATTCTCTTCATTCATTTCCCCTTTTTTTAGTGGTTCCAACACAAAAGAAATGCACTTCACTCCCATGCTGTCCGTTTTAGAAAACTACATTTAATGGCATAGATGGCCTGAAAAGCACATGGAATAATTCCAATCAGCTGTTCTTAACTCTGAGAACTCCCATCTGACAGGAAAGTCATCTGCCAACTTTTTCTCCTGTTTTCTTCCTCATCTTTGCAGAGTTATGTCTAAAACAGTAATGGTAGGTTTCAAGGAAAAAAATAGGGTAGTTCAATTTTCTGCCCTTTTTTCAGTAAGGCTAATGCAGAACAGGTACTGTTCAGCACTGCTTTTTGCTGAGGTGGCTGATCCACTCACTGTTCCCTAGGGAGCCAGGGCCAGTGCAGCTGGCGTGGCTAACGTGGTCATCGGCCCCCCTCTGAGGGGCTGGGGGAGGAGATGCTAGGAACTGGAGACCACTGATTGCATCTTCTTCCTGTGCTGTTTCAAAATGACTTCATCTTCAGCACGTACTTGAGGAAGACACAGTAGCCTTAAGCTATGCTGTCATATTATTTGACAGAAAACAGAAGTATCAGTAAGTAAAAACAGAAAACCAAGAGAAAGAAACATGAACTGGAACGACTTGCAGAGACAAACTGGCTGCTGTGCAACTATCTGTGAGCCTAGATTTAGGCACAAAAAGGTAAAAAAAAAAAAAAACGGATTTGCTGCCTCTCTGTACATTTTTGTTGGCAAGAATAAAACAGTCTCTTGTGGATGAGAGATGAGAATAGAAGCCTATCCATGAAATAAAAATGCCACCCTCTTTTAGAAAAAAGCCTCGGATTTGCGTGGTCCATGTGACAGCGTGCTAGCCAGATCTGGCCACAGGGCAATGCCGTTTGGCCTGACTGGGCAACAGCAAAAGCAGGTATTTCTGCAAGTGTCTGGCTGCTCTGGGGATGAGTAGTGTCCTGGAAGAGGAGCTGCTACCTCAGGAAGGGCACCCGAGGGCTCTCTGCTGCTCAGCCTCCCCCTCACCTCCACTCCAACGGCAGGGGGCGGCCGCC